CCTGGGACGTGCAAGAGCGCCTCACGTTATCTTAGCAACTCCATATTGATTCTGGATGACTGATCTCATCTCCGTATATTACCAATCTGGTAGATAGTCGACGGCATTGTCTTGACCCGTATACGGCGACCAAGAAGTGATCATCGATAGGTGAATCATTGCTTACCCGTTTGGGACTTTCTCCGCGTACTTGCGATGTGACGGCTTAGCTACGTCTTTAAGCTTTTAGCTCCCGTCAATGCTGTTGTACCGTTGAGACACATCATCTCCGCGACGCCTCAATTCGGCAGTTGGTCACAATTGCAGGTTCGCGGCTGATGCCTTGTCGGCGGCAGGAAGCGAGGCTGCCATCGTTGTCAAAAAGCAGAGTGGATGCCTGTAACGCGTTTCATCGGAAACAAGTTAGCGTAGTGTGCGTGTTGGCATCACATCGTGATCCAAGACTTTGATGTGATGAGCGTCGACGCGCGTGCAGCCTTTGCTCCGGAGCATGTATTTGGTCATCTTGATCAACCTTCGGTCCAAAAAGTCAATAGTTTGGGCTTCAGAAGAATCGAGAGCAACACATAAGACTGATGTACATATAAGCCTCGAGGCCCATCGTACGATTATGATGGATGCCAAGTATGGAGAAGACTAATCGCTGCCAGAGCAGCACATGGTTCACATGGTTTATCGATTAGGAGTCTGCAAGGTTTCGAAAAGATGCCCCCGAGACTAAAAGATACATCGGTGTGAACGGCTTCAGGGTACGAATTGGGTAAGCGAGTAGATTTAGAGTGTAGGGGAAATCCCGAAGGTAGGGAAACTTTCCACACAAGAAGGCCCGATGCGCAAAAGGGATAGTCCAACGAGGTGGAACTTGGTGACTGGGTAAAGCTCGGATGAGAACACCATGTCGCATGCGGCAAAACTCTGCAACTTGGGCGAAGATTTGCAGTCTTGATACCGCGTTCCGGGAAAGCTCAAAAAAAGAAGTCCGATATACGACGAAGGTCCGAAGTCGATGGTAGTTTGGCTTGGTATTGCTACTACTGTTCCCAACGTTCAGGGCCGGCAACAACAACGTGATGGGTACGGTCGAGGATTAGGCCGCGCTCCCCTGCATGCCTTGTATGTTGTGCATAACATTACGGCTGCTGTTCGCACGGCTGGTACCCTCGTGGGCACAGGGTGCTCCTTGTGTAAGCGCGGTTTTGCCAACGATTGAAGTTCTTCTAGCAACATTCCCAGCCGCGGGGTCATGGCGCTAGGTTTGAGCACAATCTGCGGAGAGCACTCCGCGGCTCGTCTGGACCGACAAGGTTTGGCGAGCGATCGTGGGGGAGGCCTGAAACGCTCCTTGTCCTGAGATGCCGTCCTCGGCATTGGAATGTAGACGCGCGGGAATGGATGGAAGGTGTCAAAGTCAAGAGAACCGGCACAGGGATTTGCTGTACAATTAGGTATATTGAAAGGGGAATCTGGGTGTATCGGTAATTGCTGTCTATTGTCAAGACATGCCGCTGCAAGACCGAGAATATACATTGCGGTCAACGTCAAGAGACGCTAGATGTGCTGGTGCGCTACTAGTAGAATGTAACAGAGGTGCTCGTCTGACATGCGTATCCTACAGGTGTGTGTTGTTACAAAGTCGTAATGCATGAATGTACAAGGAGTGGTTTCGATGGCCCGTGGGCGGATGGGTGAAAGTCTGTTGGCAATTAGACTGGCGGCGTCTTGGGCTTTCTCTTGCCGATGTTGTAGCCCCAGCTTCTTAGAGTTTTGACCACCTTGGGGAGGACGGCTGCGGTAAGTGGCACGCGGAAGAAGATCAGGGATTTGTGGACGAGGTAGGCTAGGCCGAGCTGTGACCAGATCGCTGTGGTGGTTGTTAGTAGTGTATACAGTATTATAGGCAGAGGTCTTGCGTACATGCGTTTGACCCTCCGTCGTGTCCTACGGCCTTTCCAGCCTCAACGTAGCCTTCCCTCGCGGTGGCCTCGGCAGTGGTCTCGTCGGCTTCAGCTGTTGCTGGTTTCTTGCCAGCGTCGGGAATGACGAGGCGGACGACGCTCCAGAGCGCATTTTTCAGCACATGCTCGTAGTGGCCTATCCTGTCCGTGCCCAGTAACCGCACTGCCATGAAGCATAGGGGGAAGTCGATGAGGGACAGTCCCAGGTAGACGCCCACGGCCGTCCAGCCATATTCGCGAGAAAGCTTCTTCAGTCGCTGCGATACCGAGGGCGCAGGTTCGGGACTGCCAAGGTGTGGCGTGGGGTTGTGCGACTGGACGGGAGGTTTGTCGCTCTTGAAGCGCAGCGAGCGGAAGCGGCGGCCGAGGGCAGATCGTTGGTAGCGGAACAGCAGCAGGGCGCCGTGGTGCAGCGACTTGCTTCCTAGGCTGGACCGGGCGGCAGGTTGGGCAGAGGTGAAGAAGTTGCGGAGGAAGGGCGCCGATGGGCGTGAGGCGGCACCTCTGGCGGCACCGCTAAACGGCAGCGTGGCAGGCCACAGACGGACGACTCGTGGCTTCATGGCATGGACGATCGGAGATGGGCAGGGCAGGTGAATCGGCTTTCACGTGGGGCGGTGTGGTCGACTCAGGCTCGTTGTCGCACTCTCAAAACCTCGCCAAAGCTACCGCCGTTGGTGCATCGTCACCATTGCCATATAATTTAGTCAGGGTCCGTCCATCGGATCATGGTAATCCCGCCCCCCGACAGATTCACCGTCGCCGCACGAGGGCCCATGGCGCCATCCGTGGATGCACCGCGCGCGCATGCACTCTTCCTAACGCGATTGCCGACTCTGCTTTACCCGTAGACACCACACGCAGTCGTTGTAGTTGCTGCCCGGAGCATACCGTCGGCGACGGGCATCATCCATACATCGCGTGGTTCTCGTCTCGAAGCAGAAAGACGACGCACAACATCCCGCCGTCGACGCGCTAGAAAGAAGAAGCCAGAGTTTACCGAGTCACTGACCGAAATGTCGCTGCCTCAACCCTCGTGTCATTGTCGTGGCCATGTCGCATGTCGGATCCTACCGATGATATGTCACGCCGCACTGATGGCGTGAAGCAGCCCTGGTGGAGCAGCCGCTCAACAGTTTCGCCCATCTCTGCCAGAACTGTCTCATTTCCTGAACGCCTTCAGTTTCTACACGGCGAACTGACCCTGCCGTTCGTCCAAAGCCAGCACCCCGGGGTCGTGTCGTGCGCACAATCTCAGAGTTGCCTGACAGAAGCGTCAGCCTGCATTAGCCCAACCGTGGCCAAGAGCTTCCTCGGGGAGTCTCGAAGCGTGTTTCCTGCAAACATCTGTTGCAGTCCACGACCAGACGGGCATAGCACGAAGCCCCCTTGCGGGCGGAACATGGGCACCACTTGCAGCAACGCACGCCCGACTCCTTCGCCTTCGCTTGGCCAGCAACATCAGTGTGATGTCTCGCAAGCGCGCCGGTCATTTGCAGTGCCAAAAGCCCGTCGAGCACGCCCGAAGTGTGGCGTTACTAGGTGGCCGCCTGCCAGCCGGCATCACACTCGAGATGCATCGCGCCAGCATGGACCTCCATTGCCTGCCGAATTGCATTTCACGCATCGTATTTACTGTCCATCTTGAATTCTAAATTGCGGGGTCACCACGCGTAGCTTTATTATCGACCGTGCGGGTCCTGCTCTCGCTGTATGCGAACCTGTTCGCTGGTACCGAAAGCGCAGGAGTAGTGGAACAGGAGTGCCCTCCGTTACAGAAGTCCAGTCAATACAATCGTTTCACAACCCACTCTCCTCGCAATCGCATGCCGTTATCCCGTCGCCTCGCCTCGCATGGGGTGACTCTGGGTGGGCGGTGGGTGGGGCTGATCATCCTTGGGTATGACAACTGCCTGCAGCATCTACATGGTCGAGCGTGTGCTCAAGGGCGTTGGCATCTCGCGGACGCATCCGGCCTCTAACAGTCTCTAACGTTTTACATTAGCCTGATTCGATCTGACAAGGTTCCACACATGGTTCCGCTGCGCTGCAGTCGCCGACTCGTCCTGATGCCTGGCGACGCGTTTGCAATTCCCGGCGCCACTCCCACTGCCGAACTGCATCACGACATCGTCAACCTGCGCCGACCGTATAGTATGCTCATCTGCTTTAGTGGGCGTTCACCTGTCATCAACTGGCTCGCCCTTCCTCTTCGTCCAACTCTCTAGCCGACATTCCTGCAGCACGGCTCGGCGCCTGGCTGCGAGGGCCTGGGAAGGTTTGCAAGTTGATCCTTTAAAGTTTTCGGCGTTCCCACAACCCTGCAACCGCACCAGTCTCAAACTTTGAGCTTTGGGTACTGAGCTGACGAGTGATGGAGACCACTATTCATCTACCTGGCCTTAACATCGCTCTCTTGCCGCCGCATTAGCCCCTTGATTGGCCCGTGATCACGAGCGTTCCTCTGTCCTCTGACGTCCCAAAGCACCGGACAAGGGCTCCTCTTCGAACGGCGCCAGCGTCGTCTGTCCCCCCTGCTAGCTCGGCTGGACTCTGGAGTTGATCGCCATGCCCTTGCAAAAGCTCGGCGCCGTTTGTGACTTCCTGGCGGACCAGGGCCCTGGTCTCTCACATTATTCGGCGGGATGGTACTGTGCTTTCGTGTTACACCCATTCCTTCGCTTCACAACTTGACAGCGCCCAAAACGGCACGCTCCCGGAGCCAACTGTTTGAGGCTTCGACTAAGCTCTTACCCTGCGCTGCTGCATGAGTTGTTGTTCAGGATCTGCCTGTTTCTCCACGTGGGTTCGTCTCATTCTCAACTTGCCTATTAATATGCCTTCGTATATAGACTACCTGTCCGCACTACTTCCTCACCTATTCTGCACAGTGTCTCACTACCCGTCACCGCTCTCTTGACATTATCTTCGACTCCCACGCTCCTTATCTTGTCAACACTACTACTATACTACTATCAGCCGTCGCTCCTTCCTCTCTCGTTTAGCCTCATCACCAACCAATATATCCTGCATTACACAGCAACCATGGGTGGTAACACGGAATATATAGCAGGCCACGGCTACCTCTCTCTTGGCCAGGCTGTTCACGTTGCTCAAAACAGTGACGGAGGCGTTGACCAGCAACTCGCCCAATTCCTTGAGAAACGCCTTGCCGTGGTCTGGTCAAAACTCAACGCTCAACCACAATCCTACATCCTCCCGCCAGACGAATTTGCGCTCATGAACTACTACCGCACACGATTCGGAGATAACGAAATAGTTCGCAACGCTACTAAGAGATTCTGGGACAATCACAAAGGCGGCCAATAAGAGCTTGCCGGAAACAACTGCTCTCGTTCTCATACGGCGGGGACCCACGGAATTAGCAAACAACGGAACGGCAAAGCAACAACGATCTACCTCGCAACCACCTATTCAAGCCTTCGCCCACAACACCTACTTTCCGCAACCTTCCGCCGCATTTTGAATGAGGCAACAGCTGCATTTTTGAATTGACGATGTAAGTTTCGCCTACTTGTCACAATTTACATGAAGTACTGACTCCAATCAGCTGGCAATCGCATCGTCATCGACTTTCTTATTTGGCGTTCATCGGTGTACCAAGATACCTGGACTTCCGCAAGATACCTCTCCAACGGAGTAACGGCGTTTTTCACAGCAAACCGCCACTGACCGGTTGCTAAAATGGCGTTTAGCGTGTGCGATTGGAAGCGCAAGAGCGATGGAATTCATGCAAGGCGTAACGGCGAACTATTAGAATTGGCATCACCTATGGGAGCGGTACCCAACAACGGACGACTGTGTCTCGTAACTCTGCTCTTAATACTAATGACGCTATCTCAATCTACTTCCGCTTTACTCACGACTACCCCGCTTGCGCAACCCTACCCCCAGACCGTGTCCTTGAGAAACCGTGCTACGAACGAATCATCTCTGCTAGAATGCCTACAGGTTGCGCCACCAGTCCTGAGTCCAGTTGATGCATGCCAGCAGACCTTGATGGTCCATACATTTGCCTCCTCGTACGGACAGCCATTCGTGGGACAATTCAACCCGCCGGAGTGCAGCTTCAACAGGGTTACCTTCAACTTTACCGTTACCTCTGCCGGCCGGCAGTTTGACCGGCTCGGTGTGATGTTCCTTGATGATACCGAAGTGTTCCGTACTTCCACCGCCGAGCCAACACAAGCCGGCATAATATGGACATATGTCAAGGACATGAGCAGCTACCAATCTCTTTTCAAGACGCCACAAAAGATAATCTTTGATCTCGGTAATATCGTCGACGATACATACACCGGTTCCTGGTACACCACGCTGACCGCCACCTTCTTTACTGCCGACGATGCTATCGAGCCCGCAGATGTTATCATCCCAATCTCGGCACGGAAGTCGGGTCAAGATGCATCCAGCGTATTCGTCGTACCGGAAACAAGAGCAGTCAACAGCGTTGTGATTCCGCAGAACGCGAAGAAAGCGGCCTTCTCCATCTCCGCCTGTGGCCAGGCTGCTGAGGAGTTCTGGTGGAGCAACGTCTTGTCATCAGACACCAAAGCATTCGGCAACGACACCACGCTATACGGTCACTCGGCCTTCCGAGAACTTCGTCTTCTTATCGACGGATTATTGGCTGGAGTCGCCTGGCCCTTCCCCGTTATCTTTACCGGTGGCGTTGTTCCTGGCTTTTGGAGGCCCATCGTAGGCATCGATGCATTCGATCTGCGAGAAGACGAAATCGACATCACTCCGTTCATACCATTGCTCAGCGACGGCCAGCCCCATAGCTTCGAGATTCAGGTTGTCGGCGTCGACGATGACGGTCATGGGAACGGGAACTTTACGACCGCCATCGAATCGAATTGGGTCGTTACTGGGAAGATCTTCGTTTGGCTTGACAGTGGCAACAACGCCATCACAGGACCCGCGCCTACCACTGTTACGACTTCCAGTATCGTACTACACTCGTCAAAACGCGGATACTCGAACAGCAGCGCAGGCATCTTCCTAGACTACTCTATTCAAGTCACTCGCAATCTAAAAATCCAATCCACGTTCGACACGCCCGCAGGTTCAAAAGCAGTTACCTGGACCCAGAAGCTCACCTACTCCAACGTTGGAACTCTCAGCAACGGCGGTAACGACCAGATCGTACGTCAGTCGACAACAGGCACACATACAGCATCCACAGATTATTCCAAAAACTTCGAATACCCTCTATGGGTGCAATCGTCCTACAACGCACCATCAGGCGGCAACGTCAGCATCAACGCAAGCATGTCGCGAAGCAAAAACGTGCATCAACAAGGCGACCTAGCCTTCCCAAACGACTGGAAGACATTCGACTACACGCGTCTACAATCGACGCCCTACAGCAACCAGAGCTTCCTGGGGTCAGACGTGAACAACTGGCAAAATGGCACAGCATCCTACCTGTCGGTCCCCGCGCTGAAAAAGTCCTTCGGATCAGGCAGCACAGAGCAGCGCCTCACACTCAGCGGTGTAGGCACCGCATCACAAGACGCAGCATCCCAGCAACTCTACCAAAGGCACATTGCCGCCACCAACGACTCGGTCGTGTATGACGACGAGAGCTTCGGGCGTCAAGTGCGAGGCCAGAGCAGGTATGCCGCTCCCAGCCTGCCGGGCGCGCCAGACGTCGCGCATGAGTATGCGGCTGCAGGCGTTAGAGCGATGCTAGGAAGGGGGCCAGCGTAGGCGACTGCGAAGCATGATGAGGTGATGGTGGTGGAGGTGGATCTGCATTGGGACGAAAGGAAGGTTTACCGGTATCTGCACGACATGTGTCGAGCAACGCGATGGATGGAAGGATGGGGCACTACAGGCATGGTCATCTTAACAGTCTGTGGGACTTTAGGTGGTGCGTACTAGCTGTCAAGTTCGCTTTTGGGACAAAGCAAGCGAAGTGGAGGGATGTGGTGGGTGGCCTTTGTGGTGGATGACTATATTCGTTGCACTGCATTTATTCTCCGTTATCGCACTGCATGCTGTTTCTCGACGTTGATGCTGGCTCTCACGACATATGCGCTGTCAGTCTTCTTTCGGTATCGTTTGGCGAGACAGCATGATCAAATCTCAATGCATACTGCACTGCACTCGCATTCTCTTCCAACAACGCGAACGCGGTGTTCTCATACCCATACCATGCAATGAGCCGTCCAATCCAGCTTAGGCGCCAGGGAACAACGGCCTTGCTTCCCAGCGCAACGGTAGTCGCAATACGAGTCGCGTGGTATAACACACACCTGCACCTCATCTCGCCATCAACGTCTTGGCTTCCCAGCCACCAAGTCCCACAGCATAAACTTTGCAAATAGTCATGAGGGCGAAGAAATACTGATCGTCCTATGATACCCTCAGTACAGTCATTCCCAGCTAAAAGCGAAAAAATTTCGCTTGCAGCTATCCATCTTGGCTAACTACTCGATAGTTCGCTTTCATGCCGCTTCCGCCCCGCCTCACCCTATCCTATATCACCTTCGCTGCTATCACTTCCCGCCTAGCTTCCCTTACCCGAATGTATCATCCAGTACCCCACGCCGATCCACATAGAACGTCGACCAGGAGCCAGGATTTGTATTTTCCATCACCCCTTGGTTCTTGCAGCTTTTCACATCATGGGTCTTCCTTGAGCGCGCTAATGTCGCCATCTCCGAAGCGGTTTGCGTTGCCGTCGTGATGTGGGGAGGGGGAGAAGAGACGGTAAAAGCACACCAGTGACCGGATACCGTCTGTTCCGCTCGAGGCGCGCCATCATAGTCTCGATCTTATATGCCCTAGCTTGTCTTAACGGCGGCCTCAAACTTAATCGTAACGTTGAGTGGGCAGGCAAAGCGGTCGGCACAGCTGTCCGAAGCAGAATATCAAGGTCCCTTGCGTATATGACAACAGCAAATTTTTGTTTTCTGCCATTTTGAAATAGGCAATATTCGTAATGCCTTCATGTTGTCAAGGCTATCATGCAAAAGGTTGTTGGTGATACAGCGCGCTTAGGTCACGTTGGGTTGGAGAATCCAATCCCTTTTAGCCGACGGGCTTTCGTTAACGCGCGCTCCCGCGGGGCGCCTTGGAGCGGGAGATTTGCAGTCGATCTGTGCGTACGCTGCGTCTCCTCGTGGCAAGCCTGAAACGTCGGTAATGCACCGTGAACTGTGGTTTTCGCCTGGGGATTGTCTACTTGGTGCAAGAGAAATCTCGCGCGAATGCCTCATTCCAAGGTTTGTAAGGGAGGAAAGGAATATCGCTAAACCAACACAGCACACTACGGCTAATGGTGCATCACTAATTAAAGAAAGATGCGAATGCGAGCAGTTCGTCTCGGATGCGCATTTAGGGTTTGTAAAAGGAATGCCCTTTGCAGGTCGGGGGTTTGAGGCTGTCTGCCGCGGACACCGTCTTGCGAAGAGAGTCTTTCCGACCCCTGGAGGTACCTAGGCAGATCCACTGTGTTGGAAAATTACGTTCCCTTTCCTGGGAACCGTTAGCGATTGGTCGCTGGGAATGAGCGCTACAATGAGAAAGACATTCATCACACCAATATCACGTCGAGTGTAGCGCGTGCTGCCGTGTGTTCCAGCCTTATCCGCCCCATAGTATCCATACATAGCTGCGAGTCATGGTGGTCGTTATGAAACGCTCCACCACTCATTTTCCTTTTTTCGTTCCAGCTCACTGGTGCTGTTATGGGTCCACACATGACGCAAGGATGGTGCACACTTCTTTCCCGAAGGTCGTAAAGTAAGTTCAGAGATTATCGCTGACAGCCGTGGTGCTGTGGTTCTCATCTATCTGTAACACAATGGGTATCCCAGTTTTGGTAGCCTGGCGCGATCCCCGTATGCGGACGTGTGACTGACAGGCCGGGGTGAGCGCTTCGCTTGCATCAATTCCAATGTGTGACGAGTGGTAGCGTTGGTGATGGTCAAGCGATATCCATGGATGGCAGACGGTGATGTTGTGCACTAGGGCAGTGGACGCCGTTTCGCGGGCTGGGAGATGCCGCAATTCGCTTTCGTGGGCCGCGGATTAGCGCTACTGATGCCGGTAGTGGTGTGCTGTGAAGTATTGAATATTGACAAATTCTCTCGAAGATGGAGCCCTGCCTGGATTCACCGGTTTGGTGTTGTGATATGTTGTCACACCTCAATCGAAGATAGTGTGGGACGCCTTGATCCGAGAAAGACACTGCAACACTCCAGCGTCCCTCATGGTAGCCTATCACCAGACCTGCGGCGACGTCCTCAGGCCGCCATCTTGTGGCTGCGAGCCGTTCGCCCGTTGAACTTCGTATTCGAAGTTTGTTTGAGCCACACACCCACGCGCGCAAGCATGGCTAGTCCTGTACGACATTTGACGTCTGCTGCCGTTCATCGGTGTGGTAAACCTTCGGTGGGCGCGACGCGCCGATGTGAACGCCTCTAACTTTGTCTCGACGACCCATGCATGACAACGGTGGGCTGATGGTTCCTTCATCAAGTGGATCAATGTGACTAGATGGCGATCAGGTCAACATTGAGCTCGTTCTCCGCGTTCCCGAGGGTGGCTGCCACCAAACATGTCTGTAACCGATGTTCGTGGTTGTCTGAGGCAGAGTCTGGGTCGCGCATAGATGTGGGCTGGAAAAGGCCCGGATAACCCCATCCTACTTGAAGACCGACTTTGTGATTCCGGTCATTTTCCCGGACTAGGTACTTATCGAACGATCGTTGAAGATAAAACCGAGGTACTACCGTGAACCAATGCAGGTGGAGTGCCCCAACGTCATCATGAGAAAACCGCATCCGACGTCCCAACACAATTCCCGGAAGTCCTTCAAGCTGCGTGTTAGGCGTGGTCGCGTCCAAGATGGATACTTTTCCATGAACCAGCGGGGCCTGGGGAGAAGCGACGCGAAGGAGGGGCGAATGTGTGGATCCGGGGCAGTGTCGCGTGCCTGTGACTCGTCGAGATAGATGCGCCTTCCTCATTGACGAGTGGCGCCTATGGCTGGGCTTTCGAGCGCTTTCCATCATATCTTCATGTCGTCGTCACCGACTCACAAACCTCCATGAACCTCCCATGAAGCACTATGGTCCAGCCGCTATTTCCCAGCATTACCCAAGACGATGATAAAACCGCGCAGCGTCTCAGCGAGCACGAAGTCGAGGCTGAATCCTCACTTAAACCCGGCGATAAAGCCGATGAGGCGCTAAGCGTTCATCGCGGGGCAATTCGTGTACCTTCTCCGAATCCGTCGCTCATATCAATAGACGATGCGAATGTTGTACGACTTGGGAGGAATCCAGACTATGCTCCTGTATACCATGAAGAATATGCTTCACGTTCATCCGATCCTCCGCGGACTCTCAAAGAGAAGATTGACTCTTTTTGGACGGTGAACAAGGGTTTAGCGTACGTTTTGCTCGCTCAGTTCTTTGGAAATCTTATGAACGTTACCACGAGGATATTGGAAATGGAAGGAAACAGCGGTAGGCATATGCTCGTGTAACAACATGCGCTTGTGCTGACCGAAGGTTATAGGTAATGGCTACCATCCATTCCAGATCTTGTTCGCTAGGATGAGTATCACCACGGCATGTGCTTTGTTCTACATGTGGTATCGCAAGATAGAACACTTCCCATTCGGTATGAAGGAAGTGCGCTCGTTGCTGGTAGCTCGAGGATTGTTTGGCTTCTTCGGAGTCTTTGGCATGTATTGTAAGTCACTTATCCCCTTCTTAGGACCATGCGTTTGCAGTAACTTGTCTCAGCTCGTCTGATATTGGATCACGTCTGAAGGTTATTGCTACTGCGTTGCTGTGATGGAATCCACAGTACATCATATTGGTCTTACCTAATTGACACAGTGCTTACTATCCTAGATTCGCTGATGTATCTGCCCCTGGCTGATGCCACCGTCATCACATTCCTCTCCCCATCGCTCGCTTGCTGGGCATGCTCCTACTTCATCAACGAACCGTTCACCAGGATGGAGCAGATAGCTGCGTACATCTCGCTATTCGGCGTCGTCTTGATCGCAAGACCCGTCTCGTTATTCTCTGCGCTATCGCACTCCAGCGACCCGGTTCCTGCCTCCGGTGGCTTAGACGCCATTCCGACAAACACTACTGCGGCTTCGCCCGATCGTCTCGCTGCGGACTACGATGATGTGACACCCACGCAACGAGCAGCAGCAGTAGGGGTCGCCATGTTGGGTGTGATAGGTTCAACAGGAGCATATACAACCATTCGATGGATCGGCAAGCGCGCACACCCACTCATATCTGTCACCTACTTCGCAACTTGGTGCACAATTGTTAGTGTGGTGGCAATGGCTGTCATGCCAGGCGTCGGCTTTCTACTCCCAAGAGGTGTGAAAGATTGGTCTTACCTGCTCTTTCTGGGCATCTGCGGATTCGTTATGGTACGTCTAATCGAGCATCTTGCGTTGCGCATCTTAGCTGACATCACGTAGCAATTTCTCCTAGCCGCGGGTCTCCAATACGAGAAGTCTTCTCGTGCAACGAACATGCTCTACATGCAGATGTTTTTCGCGCTTGGTTTCGACAAGTTGATCTGGGGCACTACGCCGAGTGCTTTATCCATTGTTGGGTCGTCGCTGATTCTGGGTTCGGCGATATACGTCGCTATGAACAAGGAAGACCCGAAGAAGGCCGTTGAGCCAATGGGTAGAGGAGACAGCGAGGAAGAAAGAGGGTTGATGTCGCCAGTCTTTAACGCCGAAAGAAGAGATGATGAGGACGCCGACATACAGATGCGACCGTTGAGATGATGTTCTGACGCATGCATTTGGCGTTCACCATAACCGCCGATTAGATTGGGATATAGATTGCTTGACTACTTTGCATGAACATAGACAAAAACGTAGAGCATAGAGGTTTTGCGAAACCGTTCCTCTAGTTCTCTGAGACTATTACACTTCACCAGGTTTCAAGCATAATGCAACCTCCTTGTCGCTCAGCTTTCATTGATTTAGTTGTTGTATGCATTGGTGCTTTCACGGTGCATTCGATGTTGTGACCGCGGAGGCATCGGAAGTGGGATGTAGCTACCCCACCTGCGCTCCACGCGCAATCTGCGATCTCAAGCTGACCAGAAACCATCTAGGCGGGAAGTCTTAGCTCACCATCATCGACAACGTCGTGGAATATATTGCGATAATTTCACCAGCACTTCATCAACAAATCCTCTGTGGCGCAATTGGCTAGCGCGTCTGACTGTTACAACAGTAGCTAGTTATCAGGAGGTTGGAAGTTCGAGCCTTCCCGGAGGAGGATTATCTTTTTGCCTCGCCAGCATCCTTTTGTACCCCACCATACCAACATAACTATAGCCATGTGATTGTAAAGCATCGCATTCATGTGGCGAAAGTGATGAGGTAGTTGCATTTTTGCTTCGAGAAGGAAACAACTGTATTGCTCCCAAAGTGAACGATATGATTATGCCACTGACAGCTCATTCACCACCTAACAGCCGTACGCTAAACCCTGCTCCTATGCACACTTGTAAACCTCATCCTCCCATCTTCAATTTTCAGCACGTTGACCGGGACCTTGACGCGCAACGGCTCTTCGCCTGGTAGATTCATCGGCGCAGAAAAGCCTGCTACGTGCGAAACAACACTATCGCAAGTCGGGCACTTCCAGTTTCTGCGCGCCGAGTCCACATCTTCGCCGCTGTTCTGCTCGATGCGCTTGATGCAGATGTTGCAGAATTGGTGGTCGCAGGGACGGATACTGGGGATGTATTAGTATACAGAACATAGGCAGGGGAAAGAGAGTGAAATAGGAGGAGGGAGTAGAAGCGAGTGACCTACATGCAATCACACAGTCGCAATTCACATGTCGTGCACATCTTCGGTTTCGTTGGGTCAAACTCTGGTTCAGTGCTGATGCCGATGTGTTGGTCCATTTGGCTGACACTCTTTACGTTGTCGAAGGCACCTCTGTCAAGTCGCTCATCTACCTTCTCTTCAACAACGAAATACTGACCACCAGCCTCTGTGTACGCTTTGGCATCGATCGGTGGAGGTCGGGGGACGATATGCGTTACCTTTTCGCAAGTGATCGGGTCGAGAATATGTATATTCAGGATACGCGTAGCAGCGTAATTCCAGTTGTCGTAATAGAAAGGGTCTTTGTATATGTCTTGAACTGCGCTGTAGGTTAGTACTAGAGAGTTGCAAATGCGAAACTGACGTACTGAGTTTTCCGCCAACCGCAAGGCCCATAGCTGTGAAGTCCTCTACCTCAGTCGTTTTGCGATGACTGGCGTCTGCTTCAACACTGACTTTATCCAGCTCATTGTGACCACCAAATCCGACGCGAGCGTCACTCGTACAAGCACGGAAGGTAGAAGTTCGGCCTGGCTCAGATAGATACTTGATCCAGAACGGCTCTCGACGCGTAAGATCGGGCGAATACGATTTCAAAATGTCGCCAACCTTGTATTGAAGCTCCTGAGGGGTCTTGGCTTCCCACAAACTATCAGTGTAACTGACATTTCCACGTTCGATACTGACACACTGGCGCCTAGTGTCCGACCACAAGCGCCGGTGGCCAGATAACTGGGGTGTGACTTCCAACTGAAGTCCTCCGTATCTCTCTTCTGCTGTCTTCTGTCCTTCCACGGTATAGCCAGAGCCAACTGGAGTGAGTCAGTAGATGCCAGATCGGCGCGGATTCTGGACAAGAAGACGTGGGACACATACGAGGCATGGCGACGAACTGGCGAACAATACCAGGGGCTACACAGATGCCATCCAGCCACGGTTGGTTTGGGATAACAATGTAGTCCTGCAGCTGCTCGTTGTGCTGCCCTTTAGATGCTTCGTTCATATTAAGACCTGAAATGGCATTGACCTGGCCCGCAAAGACTCGTACCGCGCACTCATCGTCACGCTTGTGCAGCTCGGATTGGAAGTTGAGCCACATGGCTTCCCGCTGCCACATGGGGAAGAACACTCCACCGGCCTGTCCAATACTGGCCGGTAAGCGGTCCGCGTACGCTTCTACGCTGAACAGATCGTGACTGCCCAATGAACCTGGTAATTGGTGAAGCTTGTTGTCGTCCGGTACCCTTGGCGTCCGCTCGAACGAGATGCGAAACCCGTGGCTGCTCTCAATGGCTCGCTGTGGGGCCAAGGGGTTAACGTCAAAATCGAAAGGTCGTCCGTAATGGGTATTGGCATGCGCGATCAGACTTTCCGTGATCTTAATCGTGTTCTTGGTAGAAGCTTCGTCTGCCGCGACCACAACGACTTCGTCATGATCTGTCACTACGCAATCTTGATCGTCCTCGCTGTAGATTACCCCGCCGTTTTGCAAGTAAGGAGGCTTCCGGAACCCACGGTCTACTCATTGTTAATACAATTCTTGAGCAGTAGACACTCAGGCCAGTAACCTTCAATCTTCTGCCAGATATTAGACAAAGGCTCGTCATCATTCATGACTATGTGGAGCGCCGGCCTGGATGGCTCATCCCAGTTTCGAAAACCACTATAATCAGATTCACAGCTCTGCCGAAGATCCTCAATACTGATTAGACGTGAGCCCAAGGGGACATCTGTAGGCGTTGTAGAGGCCATGGTAACCGAGAGATCTGTGCTGCGAGACGAAAGTAAAGATGAGTCGCGGAGTATAGAAGAGAGATGATGTGTTGATCAGGCTGAGCTATAAGTCTCCTCGAAATGCTGCCTGTCTGCCTCGTCATGCGGGGTCATCTCAGCCGCACGTATGCGCCCGCTTTCGTTGCATGCAGCCTGACCAAGAACTCACCACACTTTCTCATTGCATCAGAAGTGAGGAAACATGTCGTTTGGGTTCTCCATAGGAGATATCAGTATGTGTATAAGCTTGTGTTACAGTGACCAGACCACTGACGGCACCTAGTTCTTGTTAGCCAATTAGCATACGGTCTTTACGCGAGCGTCAGCTCCGGACGAAAGGCAGCCTCGCGCGACTTGAAAGAGCTCGAGGAAGTGCTGTTTAGCTTAAAGTGCGCTTTGGACCATCTTGCAGAGGTTTCGAACGATGTGCTTGCACGACCAGGGTTTCGGTATGGAGGCTCAGGGTTCAAAGAGACGCTCGATGTGATGGTCAATTCATGTGCTTGTACGTTGAAAGAGCTGGAAGCTGTGACGGAGAAGTACCGCATCATCGAGAGTCAGGCGAACAAGGGCAAGACGAAGTTGCGCACGCTAGATGACGTGAAGAAGAGTATTCGGGTCAACTGGCAAAGGGTACGATGGGACCATGAGAAGCAATCGTTACAGCAGTATCGTGAGAAGGTGAAGTCTCATACTGATGCGATAAATCTCATTCTGACTTCGGTGGTCTGGTAAGTGTTAAATTCTCAATCAGCGGGGGATGTAAATTTACTGCGCTGCAGGGCGAATACAGCATTCGCAGATGCCAAGAGCAAGAAGAACCACGAGATAACGCAGTCTATGTTGGGGAATATGCTGCGCAACCCGGCTGTAGATGCAGAATTCCGAGCTATGATGCAAGATATGCACGCCGTACTTATCAAACCGACGCCGAATCAAGAAGAAGTCCAGATGGAAGCGATGCCAACCCCGGGATCGGCTTACAACGAGCTCAATGTTATTGCGGGTTCACTGAGTGGCTCGTCAATTGGCGAATCATCTGGTCCCACACAAAAACACGGAATAGGTTTGCCTTCAGTGAGCATGTATGCGATGTCCGGTTTGCCACATAGAGCGCCCGAAACAGATGCACATATCAGACCTACCTCAACAAGAGTATCTGTGCGAGGATTTGGCGGTGTACCGTCTCCGAAAGATCATTCCACTGCGGAGAGTACATTTCGCCATGAGCGTTTGATAGGTCATGTCGAGCTACCAGCGGCCACTGTTCAGCTCAATAACGAACGCCGTGCCTTCGGAGTAAAAGAGTACAAAGCCTTCAAAAAGCTCCACGCACAACCGACGAAGGTCTCGAAGCCGTCTTTCCTGACGAGTGTGGTGCCAACTATCGAGGAGCTGCAAGACTGTATACCGCACATCTTTCGGTCGACGACAGACGGCAAACAGCAGACGCAAGAGCTGAAGAACGAGGTAATTCGATGGACTCATGAGCTCTCTCATTTCGTCAACGACACGAAAGCAACCCAGGCATATAAAGACGGGCATGTCTTGACGTTATTGGGAGCGCTGAACGAGGCAGTAGACAGCAGCACTGGAAAATCTCGACAGCTGTTCTATGACACTTCGGACTCGGCGGGCTTCGCAGCTGTGTTAGACCGAATAGCAACTGTGTCGAAAAGTGTGAGAGTGATGAAAGAGATTGAAGAGTTCCAGGATGTCAAAGACGAGTGGTCGGAGCAGACTGTCAGATAACTCTGTATAAGGTGCTCGTAAGAGCATCATCTCCTACACTTGCATTTGCTGAAGGACCGAACAGCGACAGTAACTTCGCGTTGCCCGAACCCTTCTTGTGTCCCTGTAATGTACTTTGTAGGACGTGTCCGGCTTCGCCGCATGCTCCTTTGAACATGAGCACGTTTCTGGTCTGCGAATCTACGAAGAGGCCAGGTTCCATCGTGGAGAGTTGGGACTCGTCCGCATTATGAGGTATGATGTCGTGAATTATCAGACGATCACCGGTGGGTAGTAGACACCACAAGTCGCCAAGTGCGTTGTGTTTAGCTATGACGTCTGCCAGGGAGTCTTTTCGAAAGTCGACAAAGCGATCTTGCTTGGTAATTTTCGGTGCGTGGTCGATAGGACCGTCGGAGTGGGCATACCATCCAACATCCTCATGCGGAGACACAAATCTCCGTTCCTTCAAGACATCTACGAGCATTTCTGCTCCAGCCGCGGCAAGCCGTTGCTCCAATATCTGAGCCGTCTCAGGACTCGGTTCGGAAGGAATGGCAATCTCGTAGCCAGGCATGGGGGTTTGGGCAAGGATAGTACCCTGGTCGAAATGCCTTGGATGCAGTGTTTGCACAGAGACACCGGTGTACTGCCGCCGCTTCAGTATGGCATGTGAGACGGGTGCTGGGCCACGCAGATCGGGGAGCAGCGAGGGATGCACGTTGAGACCGCCGTATTGCGCATAGTTGAGGATTCGCGGTGGGACGAGGAGGCCGAAGGATACGGCGATGACGACATCTATGGGGTTCGGTGGAGTCCAGCCGGTGAAGGTATCGATCACATGGGTGGGCAGGTTGAGCTCTTCAGTGGCTACCTGCTTGATGGGTACTGTAACGTGTCAATTGATGTTTTGTTGTAGTCAAAAGACGTTCCTACCCTCTCTCAAGGTCTTCAGTCCCCGTCCGGTGGGCTTCGCTGGGCGATGGATGACATCAATGCTCTCAATGAGGCCGGGCACATGCCGCTTCGCGTCTGCTACGGCGCGCAGTGACGCGATGCTGAAGGCGTCAGAGCCACAGAAGAGAATCCGCAATGGCTCCGACGTCCGAGCGGGAGCAGAGGTAGAGCTGCATCGGCAGGGTGGTGTGGCGATCAAGGAGCGGACGGGGCTGCGCAGCCTCCAGATCATGGTTCCGAGGTGAGGAAGCTCGGCGACAAAAGCCGCGCCGCAGGGTCTGGACGTTGCGATCGTGATCCCGTGGGGCATCTCGACCACGACAATCGGAGGGATCCCTGCCGCCCGGCCGCCGCATCGCGATGGACTGCAGTGCCTGACTATGGAATACAAATAGGCCACGACGACCGCTCGTTGTTGGGGTTGCGCGTTGGCACGTTCGCTGGCTGTCTTCTCCTCCGCACGCGTGACGTAGTCGTCCATCACCCAAATCCACCAGAAGCGCCGCGCGACCAGGCACTTCGCAGAATGCACACATGTCTTCCACGGCGGTTCCCAAGGTCGTCCCGGCGCAGCTCTCCTTTCTAGCCATATACAATCCTTCGCTCGGAACATCAGACGAGACTTTCCACCAGCAGATTGTCTTTTACTACTCCAAGGCCGCCAAGACGCGCTCCAAGCTGAAGGATGGCGACACGGAGAGGGAGGAAGAGTTGCGCGAGCAGGAGAATGAGAAGCTTCGCCAGGTCGGGCTAGCTCAGGGCATGGTAGGCTTTGCGAAGTAGGACGCATGCAGGCGAGCACTTTCCACGTCTTCAGCTAACCAAGAGTAGGAGTTTCTCCAATGGCGAAGCAGTTGACTCTGTGGAAACACAAAAGTCGCGTATTGTTCTACGCGAACTGGAGAATGGGTGGTGGATATTGGCAGTATGTATGCCCACGTGCTCAGAAACACTACGACTAACACCACCATAGTCCATTGATCTCACCCAACTCCCACCGACCGGCGGCCTCACACGAACCGACTCGAGCACCGATACCACCGAGCCCATAATCGAATACTCGTCACGCGAAGTCAGCCCACCTGCGCTCCTGATTCAGCAACTCGTACGCGCCCAGTCCGTCTTCCTGCTGCATCATGGCTCAACACTCGAGAACATGTTCTCTAAACACGGCCGTGCCAAGTTCTGCAGTATACTCGACAAGTACTGGTCGCGATTTGCGAGCAGCTGGGACGTGCTGCTACATGGAAGCCCTGCGGTGGACATATATGGTGGCATGAAGCTGGCAGCAGGTGGCGAGCTGGGTATGGGCGTTGGTGAGGAGGAGTGGGGAAGCAGCGAGCGAGACGTACTTGAAGACTTCGCACGCAGAACATCAGGTCTCGTCGATGTCATGGTGTCTCGTTTTGGAGAAGCATCACCTCTACAACAAGCCAAGACATCCACAGACCCGAAGACACTCGAAGTGTCAGAGCTGGAACCCTGGATAGGAGTCGGAAAGAACGTCCATGCCGCAGATGGCGTTGTCTTTTCGGGTCTGGGAGCTGTGAGCAGGAAGTCATTACGAGACTTGTCTCACTGGGTAGAGTCTATCTACGCCCACGGCGAGTATGCTTACGGCGTACGAGATAACCCAACATCGGATCGCAGGAAACGGCGAAGGAGAAATCTAAAGCCCGAACCCGAACCAGAAGAGCCGTCGCCTCCAATACAACAAGAAAGGCCTCGTTTCCCTCCGTCGAGCAACGGCTCCCTGCCACCGGGTATCCCTCCGCCTATCGTCAAAGCAGCTGAGAGCTCTTTGGACAAAGCATCCGCCGCCGTCCAAAACAACAAATCCCAAGCTGACTCTACTGCACCTGAGTCCAAGCCAATGCTAGCGTCTCTGGGTGACACCGAGACCTGGATGAAGTACATGACACTTGGCTATGGGACAGCATGGGGTGGAAAAAAGAGTGCCGAATCTTCGGAATCTACTGCTCCAACGCCGGCACCGCCACCACCGGCACGTGAACGGACACCTTCACCAGCAGCAATGCGTTACGTAGATCCGACTCCGGATGTGGACCCAGCAGAGGAGAAGATGAAGCAGCAGATACGTCTAGAGAACGATGGGTATTTCCTTGTAGGACTCAAAGGCGATCTACAGGACTTAGACATCGATGACGAGAATGGGGAGGGCGATTGGAATATTCGTATCCCGCTACGGACTATACACGTGGAGGTCGACAGGCGAGAAGCTTCACTGAAAACAGAAGACGGCGATTCAGACTCGACTCCGCAGTACGAGAGAGACATGAAGGTGGAGCCGGCAACCGAGAACAAGCTATCACGGTTACGACCTGTTGTCTACGTGGTAAGTCCCTGCACCATCAACAGATCCATCCCCGTACTAACACCCACCGCAGCACCGTCCCTTCGTCTACACCTTCCTCTTCGAACACCGCACCCACTCCCTCGGCGTCGCATCCTTCTACCGCGACATCCACAACTTCTTCTCGCCCCTCCACCGCTCCCTCGACAAGAGCACATCCCCCAGCCTCGTCGCCGCCCGCCTCCACGCCGTCTCAAACCACTACACAACCGAAGCCTCAACCGGCGGCTCAGGCCCCTCCTCCGGCCCCAACACACAAACCATCTACGACCTCGTTTACGACCCCCGCACCTACACCGTGCATTCCAGCCTCCCCAACATCCCCGATCCGGGTACCCTCCTCGCCGAGGGCCTCGGCAGCAACAGCACGAGCTCCCTCGGCTGGAGCAGAATCGAAGCCCTGAATGTACACTCCCAGATCCTCGCCACGGTAGCGGGTACACGCCGCAACCTCTCTGAAATAGAACGCACATGCAAAACATCCCGCGGCTGGTGGGTCGTCTGGATGCGTCTGCCACCTTCTCAAGTCAGCAACGAAGACACCGCTCAGAACAATGCTTCGAATGAAAACTCCGGGTCTGGACACGGCTCCGGCCAGTTCAATTCCAACGAGCTGCGTGAAGCGTTTCTTGTGAGGAGAGCGCGGGATACGACGGCGCATAGTGCGAAGAGCTCGAGTAGCTTTGCGAGTGGCATGTGGAGTGGGCTTGGTATGGGAGGCGGGAGTACGTCGAGGAATGAGAGGATGGGTGGGAGTGCGGCGGGGTGGGGGCCCAAGGGGTTGGCCGAGGGGATTGGGATTGATGCGAGGAGGTATGTGGAGGAGTTGTTGAGTTTGAATAGGTAGAATGTCAGGTTAGGAATAGCGTGAGGGGGGTCAATAAGAAAGATAATAAACCACAATGAGCAAATGAATGCAAATGGAATTGGCCCTGTCTACGGCGCTGCCTCGATCATTTCGTCCGTCTTGTCCCCACCCACCTGCCCCTCACGCATCAAGTCTTCAAGACATTTCTCAACAAGCGAAACCATCTTCTTATGATGCTCCTCCGACACATGGTGATCCTCTGCAAGCTTTCCCAGCCCAGCAAGCCCTTCTCGTATCCTCTCAGCCCTTGTCTCCCGAGGCACATGCGCACCTGCAGGATGCATAGCCTGGTACAAAGTGCTGACCACCCTTCTAAACTCTCCATCGGCACGGTTATCCCTTTTTCTGGTTGTAAATTTGGCTACAGAGCCATTTTGACTGTCCGGGCCGGCATCTGGCAGACCTGGAGGTGTGTCCGCGGCAGGGGGACAGGCGTGGAACTCGCGGAATGAGAGTGGGAGGTGCAGCCACGTTGCGCCTTCTTGGAAGACAATCTTTTTGATGGAGCCTCGTACGAGGTTATTGTCGACACCCATCCATACTGACCATTCTTTGGCGTGGAAGTCTTGTTGGGCTTTGCAGAGGGGGTTGGTGAACTTGAGTTGGCTGGGGGAGTTTGTTAGCGAGATGATTGACATGTAGTGTGAGTGTGGTTGCGCACCTTGCTAGAATCTCCATGCGTTTCGTGCATGGCGTGACTCTGTTGAGACCGTTTTCTATTTCGTCTCTTATAATGCTGGCGGCTTTGTATACAGGATCTGAGTACACTTTCGTCGTTGACATTTCGTTGCCGGTGGTTTGCTCTTCATAGAGTTTCTCGTAAAGCATGATGTTCAACGGAATAGAGGGGTCATTTTTCCAGGTTAGAGTGTCTAGGAAAAGGGCGTCGTGCTGCCTTTCCAGGTCATCTTTCAGCGCTTCGTGTATCCTCAAGTTGATGTTCCACGTCTGCATAAAGACCAGGTTATGCGCAAAATGCAGTTTGGGTATTTCGTACTGAATGGTGCGACGAAATGCTATCAAAAATCCGATTAGGTCGCGTAATTTGAGGTCAGCGCCGTCTTCGTGGTTGTCATTGACATGACGATCCGCCTCGCGTCGAATAACGTCTTGGATTTTCTTTTGAGCGATGTTTAGAAAACCGCGGCGATTTATACCGTCTTCGAAGAGCACGTCAATGATGGGCGTGCTGAGGGCTTTGAGCTTGGGTTTTGAGATAGGAAGTGAATCTTTGCGATGGTTTCCTCGGGAAAATGCTGAAAGAGGGATACCGTGTGATAATAGTGTACGTTGGAAACATTGTTGTAGATTTGCTGGGCGATCACCACCAAATATACTCCTGTCCCCCATGATTTTGAGGAAAGCTTCCATATCCGGCCACTCTTGGTCCAGTACAGGTGTGCGAGGTGTCAAGAAAGACACACTATGGGCTTGTCGCAGATAGTTGTAGAAGTGCGCGTATGCTACCGGATAGCCAGCGTAGTTTTGAAATACCATGTTGAACTCATGGACGGCTTGAGCGGTAACAAAAGCTATCATGCCAGCAAGGAACGGGTTGTAACGGGGCCAGTCCCAAGTGGAGACACCATTGATCACCTTTCCATCGTTGGCCCCTTCCTCCTTCGTTAGCCCCTTCCTCGTTAATATCCTCTTGACCAAGGCACGCCGATTCCAGAACCTATCTCCCACGAGCCAATCCCTGACAACCGTCGTTGTTTCTGATTCGTTTCGAAGGAAGGAATTGAGTCCTTGACGAATATGCTTCGAAGTAAACGGAGATTGCCTCAACCTGTTCATTATGTCACCGTGATCGCTTTGATCCGAGCTTTCGCGGGAGTTCTTGCTTGACCAGTTTCTTTTGTAATCGTCCGGTATGAGGTTTGGATCGGTGGCGAGTATAAGATTTTGTACATCTAGGTAGATATCTGTACAGAGAACTATCTCCACACTAAGATCAGGGCGCTTCTCGTTCATCTTCCGAGTAAAGTCGTTCTTATCAAGACCGTCGCCATATAGGGCCTGAAAGTAATCTCGCCAAAGTTGGGTGAAGTTATCCATAGCGGGCGGGTCCTGCCGGATCTTGGCTTCCTGCATACTTGCAATATCTTCCAACGCATTGTGAAGTGACTCTAGGGCGGGCCAAGATGCGTTCGCGAGAAACCCATCCTCGACCATTTCTTCCATCAGTATGTATCGATTAAAGCAATCATCAACGACGTAACCGTCCAAGACGCGCCAAATAAGGGAGTAGGTCTTTAAGCAGCTGAATTGCGCCAAGCTCGTGGGGATCTGAATGCATGATACGCTGGTGTCCAACTCGACTTTACTAGAAGCAGAGCGAACAACGCCATTGCATCGGCGAATCAAGTTCAGAGAAAATGCCTCCATCGAGCTCAACTCTGGGAACTGAGTCGTCAGATGGTGCACAGCGGTCCGGAGCAATTGAAAGGCGGCCTGCGTCGTCGCCATCGTTGTGATAAGGTCAACAGTCCTGCCTAGGAGGTATTCGTGCCAGTTCGAGCGGATAAACTCCTTAACGCAGTTGTAATCCATCAGAAGGCAGCACATGGCCACCCAGCGCTCGTGTTCGCTGTTATCAACTACATACGTTATCCGTGGTGTTGCGGGGGGTTTCTCCGCAATCGCAACAGCAGCGTTGTCAACTTCTTGATCGGCCAACTCCTCGATTTCAAGCTTACTGAAGCGATTGGTAATTCCATTGATGGAACCATGGCGCGAGACTTTATCCTTCTCTTCATCGGCGAACTGCGGCTTTCGTATGAACGGTCGTAGAATGTTTAGCGTGTGCTACAAGGTCGATGTGAAAACGGCATGACTCTCATCATCCTCAGCATGAGCTACCCTTTCAAACTCCTCCAATCCATCTATCTGACTGCCATGCCACTGCGTCGACGTTTTTCGTAGTTTGACAGCCCGTGCTGCACACTGAGCGGCGTAAAATGGGACGACGAATTGCTTTGGCGGTTTCTTGGCGATTGCCTCCGCACATGCGATGAGTCCGTTGACGCTAACTTCCCGCTCTTCCGGCTTCTTCTTCCGGGACTTTGGCTGGGATGCCGTGGCTCCCTGAGATGGTTTGTAAGGCGGCGTGTAGCCGCAGCTTGTCGCAGTGCTACAAAGCCAAGTGATGTATGTGTTGGTGTCCTTTTTGTATTCGAGATAGCTGTTGTAGATGTTGTCGGGTAACATTTTGAGGAAGAACGGTGGGGTGATATGTTTGGGGCGCTTCGGCTTTCAACTAGAGAGACAGTCGGGCTGATACCGGAGCTGATACAGTCCTAAGCACACCAACTAGCGTCGCGCTAAGCTCTGAGGTTGCAGAGAAGGTGTTGATGAACGCGACCACGATCTCCAGATCTGACACCATGCGTCAATCGGCAATGCTGAGCGGCCCGATTAGCTAAAACACCTCTTGACCATCGCTTTCACCATCGTGTGATCGAGGATTCTGGGCATTGCTTCTGTAATTGATATTGCGTGGCTCCGATGAGCTATAGCAATTGTATGAACATCCGTAACCGGGAAGTTCGTCGACGTGGGTTGACTGATCTTGCGGAAGAGATCAACGCGAATAGAGTGCGCCTCTGACTAAAATTGGGGTCAGGTCTCGGTTCGGGCCGGTCATCGAGATCGTACTATGGTATACGGTGTGATTGCGATGGCTTTGTGATCGCATAAAGTATGCAAAAGTAATACGTGCCTTTTTCCCTTGTCGCGTCTAACCCCGCTGTCTAGCTTTCTAGAATATAGGCTTGGCTGTTCCTGCAATGTCAACATTGTGCGTGCTCGTGCGTGTGGAAGGAGGTTGCAGTGTTGTGGGTGGAAAGAATGTCTAGAATGTGAGTGATTAGCGAAGGAAGGAGTGATGGTAGGACATACTGAGCAAGGCCTGACTTGGCAAATCAGGCCGAATGAGGAACGCACCTTGATCAACATTCTCCATTAATACTAAAGCCGCTACGCTGGGGTATATCTGTGCGCTTTTGATAACAAGAATCGACACCCTCACCCTTCCATCCTCGTGAACTCGTGTGTAGAGCAACCTTAACTTCGATCACCCCACCTTCAGAACTCGTCGTCCAACCGCACTACGTTGACCCGTATAATGACCCATAGACGATCCGCCATCGACAACTCCCGCAAGTTCACCGACACAAGCGATGTCTGAAGCCTCCGACAAGATGACGGCGAAGGCGATGACAAAGGGAAGTCTCCATATCCCTCCATCATCATGGTATCCTCGTAAACTGACTCCGACTTCAATCACTCCACCTCAATCCCATCCACATCCTCCGTATCATCCAACGCCCTAACCACCTCCTCCATCTCCTTCGGACTCGTAATCCCCCAAACCCCACCCCCCTTAACAGCCCCCTTCATGCCAACCTCCTTGCCCACAAGATTCCTGCCCACTTTCCCGGGTCCAATACCCACATACCGCATAATCTTCTCTTGCTCATGCAGGTATTTGACGCTCTTCCACCACTGCACCGTCTCCACACAACTCCTTGCTAGCAAGTCTTTCAACTGCTCTTTATCCTGGAAGGGCTTGCCGGACACATTTGAGATGCAGGGCATGATGCCCGGCCACGTTATAATATCGCGGCCGTCTTCCGTGGGCTTATGCAGGATGCGTTTCATTGTTTCGGCCGCCGGTTTCATGAGGAGGCTGTGGAAGGGAGCGTCAGATTTAAGTCGTACATGTCTCGGGTCGTGGCCGCCGAATTGGCGGAGGTTGGTCAGGAGCGTGCTGATGCGCGTTATACTCCCACTCAAGACAATCTGGTTCTTCGAGTTGAGGTTCGCGATGGCGACTTGCTGAACGGCGGGGAGGTGGTCGTGGGAATCGGCTTTGGAGCCGAGGGCGAGGAACTCGTGGATACCGTTGATGAGGGACTGCATGTGCTCTTCGGATTCGCAGACGAGGGCCACCATGCCGAACTCGCCGCCTTCTTCTGCGACGGCTTCTTGGCTGCATTTGCTCATTACTTCGGCTCGTCGGCGGACCATTTTTAGGGCGTCGTGGAAGGTGAGGTAGCCGCCTGCTACTAGGGCTGCGAATTCGCCGAGCGAGTGGCCCAGTGTGATGTCGACGCGCTCGCTGGTCTTGAAGCCAAACTCCTTCTCCAGTATCCGCAGTATCAGGATCGAGGTTGCCATAATGGCCGGTTGCGCGTTCTCGGTTCGTGTGAGTTCGGCATTCGTGCCGGACTCGATTGTCTTGGTAAGGGGGAGTTGAAGGGTCTCGTCAATCTCCTCGAGGATGGGTTTCGCGGTCTGGGGGAAGGCTTGCAGCCACGGTGTGCACATTCCCACGCGTTGTACGCCTTGACCTGGTATTGCTTAGTATACTAACATCCTGAAATATGTGGAAGCTAGAAAGAAGTACCAGGGAAGAAGATGGCAGTCTTGGGTCTCGTAGCGGGCGCATCTCGCACGCTGCTCATCCAGCGCCGCCGTGCAGGCTGGCAGTTGGCGCTCCGCTCGCCGCATCGCATACACCGGCGCGGAAGACGCGGGGCTGCTCTGGAAACGGTACTCAAAGAAGAAGACATGGCGTGTTTCGGGCTATGAAGTTTGGGGAGTCATGGTGTTGATTTCCAGAAGCTCTGCGGAGATGCGGAGGTTCGGGCGCGGGGAATTGACGTGAGGTGCCCTGCAGCTTGAATTAGCGCCGTGGGGTTACCCAACACCCACGGCCGAGGTCTTGCTTTTCCGCGACCAATCGTCACCGAGGCAGTGAGTGACATGTTTACAGGCCATGAAATTATTAATTTCATTGCTAGACCGAAGGAAATCCTTGATAGTGGACACTTCCATAGCATCCTTACGCGCCCTGGATGTTGAGTCCAGCGTCAACCTGAATGCGCATACCAGTCATACTAGTATTCTTCGCCAACATGACATACGCCGAAGCACAGTCATCCATGAAAGTTACATGCTTCAGCGCTGCAGCATTCGTGAGCTGCTCGATCTTCTCTTTGCTATACTTGAGGCCCTGCGTGACTGTCAGCATGGCACGTCTGGATGGCTTCTGCATCCTTACCCATTCGGTCAACAGTAAGCCTGGGAGAACGGTATTAACGCGTATCTTGGGCCCGACGGTGGCGGCAAGGCATTTGACGAGTTGGAGTTGGGCTGCTTTGGTGACGGCGTAGGGCATGCTGGAGCCGCCTTGGCTGACACCCTGTGATTCGGGATCAGTACTCAATTACAAACCCATAGTCCGTAGTTGTGTCAAGATAAAGGAAATTGAGAACGTACCGCGATACTGCCCGTAGTAATCATCAGCCCACCATCTGGATTCGCATCAAACGTGCTCCTTGCCTCAGACAGCAATGCCTTGGGCACTTTGACATTCGCATTCCAGCACTTATCCCACTCTTCATCGCTCATGGAGTCGAGGTCTTTCCACTCGGAGAAGCGCGTCCAGCCTGCGTTCGCGATGATAACGTCTAACCCTCCCAAATGTTCAATCGTCTCCCTAATTGCTCTCCTCGCCTCATCCGTGGATGTCATATCCTGTCGCACGTATTAGCATCTCTTCTTCCAAACTCTCAATTACCAAACCCACCACAACTCACCGCTTTGATAACAACAGCCTTAACCCCATGCTCTTGACAAGCCTTCTGCACCTTCTGCGCGGGCTCAATCCGGTTGAAGTAGTTAATCGCCACATTGGCGCCTTCACTCGCAAACGTCGTGCTGAGGAGTTCGCCGAGACCGCTGAATTGGGGGCGTTAGTCAGCGTTGAGATTTGGAAGACGACATAGCGGGTATAGAGTGAAATGTATGGAGGAAGGCATTCAGGAAGATCCGATGTACATACGCTGATCCACCGGTGATAAGTACATTCCTGCCTTTAAGGTCGTACGGCATGTTTGCTGCTTTGCTGCCTGCTCTGTGTGTGTGTTGGGTAGGCCTGGTGGAGATGTAGAATGCGAGTGATGTGGTTCCTGTTGTAGATTTGGAGTAGGAGAGAAGAGATAAGCTTTCAGCAGGGAATGCTTGGGATAGAGTACCGAGAGTTCATTCGTGTGTTGTTTACAAGCTGACTGTCGGCACCGTCGTCACCGTCGGGAAACATGGTGGGGCAATGGCTTCCGGAGTTTATGCAGGTAGGACCACCCCCACCCCCGGTTCTATCGTACTTCTTGCCGGTTTGGGGTTAGTAGGGTTACCTCGGTACAGTCATACATACATTTACATGGCATGTAGCGGGCTGATGTTTGCTCCGCTTGTATTGTACTCGATTGCAGGACGCCGTAAGATGCGATAGTAGATTACCTCTCACAACCAACCATTCCGCTCCAACCCATCCTAAGCGCTTATCCCAAGCATTGCCTTTAGAAGAATAGTCTGCATGCCTAGGTACGGACTCCATGAAGAGTGCTCCTCAAACACACTCTACATGTTATCGAAATCCAGACCCCAGTCGTCATCTCCTCCGCCACCACCCATATCCATGTTCATGTCCATGTCCATATCCATGCCCATACTACCCATGTCACCCAGATCCATACCAGGCAAGCTGCCCAGGTCTGTGCTCATATCGCCTGCGCCTGCATCGCCATTGCCCATGCCGATGTTGGACAGGTCCAAGCCTTCGGCACCAGTGAGTTCGTCCATACTGCGTTGCAGCGCTTTGTTATCCATGTTGGAAATGTCGTCTACCACCGTCGCGGCTGCTGCGTCGTCGATAGCTCGGTTCAGATCATCGGATATAGTTTGCGATTGCATGTCCCCGATGTTGACGCTCGGTATGTTGATGGGTGGTGCTTGGAGTCCAGCTTCGCTGAGGGAGGCAAAGTGCGCTTCTACTCGGCGGTGCAGACGCACTATCGTCTCTGCAGTCAGAGGATCTGTTGCGACCAGATTGGCTGCGCTCTCGAACTCTTGCTTGAGCATCTCGCGGAGGTTCATGCGGGTCCGTTGTTGAGGCGGCGCTGGTATCGAGCTTCCCATCCAGTCTATCGTGATCGGACTGTCTTCAACGGTTGGGGCGCAGATGATAGACACGCCAATGTCGAGCGCAGCGGCTCCGTTGCCAGCATCTGTCTGCGCTTTTACCTCATCTATGATTGCGCGTAGCGTCCTGGTGGCACCAAGCATCTTGAGCGATGCGTAGATTTGGCGATGTGTATAGCCAGGTGGGTTTGGCTGTAACGAAGAAGTCGAAGCCCATTGAC